CTGAAGAGGCCAAACCGGAACATTCTGAAGAGGCCAAACCGGACCCGTTCTGTAGAGGCCAAACCTGACCCGTTCTGAAGAGGCCAAACCGAACCCGTTCTGAGGAGGCCAAATCTGACCCGTTCTGAAGAAGCCAAACCGAAACCTGACCCGTTCTGTAGAGGCCAAACCGGACCCGTTCTGAAGAGGCCAAACCGAACCTGTTCTGTAGAGACCAAATCCAAACCTGACCCATTCTGAAGAGCCCAAACCCAAACCAAACCCGTTCTGAAGAGGCCAAACCGGACCCGTTCTGAAGAGGCCAAACCGGACCCGTTCTGAAGAGGCCAAACCAAAACTGTTCTGTAGAGGCCAAACCGAACCCGTTCTGAAGAGGCCAAACCGGACCCGTTCTGAAGAGGCCAAACCAAAACTGTTCTGTAGAGGCCAAACCGAACCCGTTCTGAAGAGGCCAAACCCAAACCTGACCCGTTCTGTAGAGGCCAAACCGGCCCCATTCTGAAGAGGCCAAACCCAAACCAGACCGGTTCTGAAGCCAATATGTGCCGTGTTTTCACAGCGATTGCAGAGGATTCAGGCCGAGGATTTATGGTCCGTGTTTTCAGCTGTGGAGCCTCGTGTTGGATCCATCACACATTCTTTCTGTGTCACATGCTCAGAAACATCACAGACCTTCCCTCTTTCTATCTGCTCCAAATCTCCTTTCAATTTCTTTCTTATTTGCTTCTCGTGCTGTTCTCCACTGCATCGACCTCCGCCCCTCTGCCCCCACCGCCCCTCTGCCACCTCTCTCTCTCTCTCTGTCCTCTCTCTCTCCTCTCTCTCTCTCCTCTCTGCCCTCTCTGTCCTCTGTCTCTCCCCTCTGCCCTCTCTCTCCACTCTCTGTCCTCTCTCTCTCTCCTCTCTCTGTCCTCTCTTTGTCCTCTCTCTGTCCTCTCTCCTCTCTCTCCTCCCTCTCCTCTCTCTGTCCTCTCTCTCTCTTCTCTCTCTCCTCCCTCTGTCCTCTCTCTGTCCTCTCTCTCTCATCTCTCTGTCCTCTCTCACTCCTCTCTCTCTCTTCTCTCTCTCTCTCCTCTCTCTGTCCTCTCTCTCTCTTCTCTCTCTGTCCTCTGTTCTCTCTCTCTCCCTCCTCTCTCTCTCCTCTCGCTCTCCTCTCTCTCTCCTCTCTCTCTCCTCTATCTGTCCTCTCTCTCTCCTCTCTCTGTCCTGTCTCTCTCATCTCTCTGTCCTCTCTCGCTCCTCTCTCTCTCTTCTCTCTCTCTCCTCTCTCTGTCCTCTCTCTCTTCTCTCTCTGTCCTCTGTTCTCTCTCTCTCCCTCCTCTCTCTCTCCTCTCTCTTCTCTCTCTGTCCTCTCTCTCTCTCCTCCCTCTCCTCTCTCTGTCCTCTCTCTCTCATCTCTCTGTCCTCTCTCACTCCTCTCTCTCTCTTCTCTCTCTCTCTCCTCTCTCTGTCCTCTCTCTCTCTTCTCTCTCTGTCCTCTGTTCTCTCTCTCTCCCTCCTCTCTCTCTCCTCTCGCTCTCCTCTCTCTCTCCTCTCTCTCTCCTCTATCTGTCCTCTCTCTCTCCTCTCTCTGTCCTGTCTCTCTCATCTCTCTGTCCTCTCTCGCTCCTCTCTCTCTCTTCTCTCTCTCCTCCTCTCTCTGTCCTCTCTCTCTTCTCTCTCTGTCCTCTGTTCTCTCTCTCTCCCTCCTCTCTCTCTCCTCTCTCTTCTCTCTCTGTCCTCTCTCTCTCTCCTCCCTCTCCTCTCTCTGTCCTCTCTCTCTCTTCCCTCTGTCCTCTCTCTCTCATCTATCTGTCCTCTCTCGCTCCTCTCTCTCTCTCTTCTCTCTCTCACTCCTCTCTCTGTCCTCTCTCTCTCTGTCCTCTCTTCTCTCTCTGTCCTCTCTTCTCTCTCTCTCCTCTCTCTGTTCTCTCTCTCTCCCTCCTCTCTCTCTCCTCTCGCTCTCCTCTCTCTCTCCTCTCTCTGTCCTCTCTCTCTCCTCTCTCTCTCCTCTATCTGTCCTCTCTCTCTCCTCTCTCTCTCTGTCCTCTCTCTCCTCTCTCTGTCCTCTCTCTCTCTTCTCTCTCTGTCCTCTCTCTCCTCTCTCTGTTCTCTCTCTCTCCCTCCTCTCTCTCTCCTCTCTCTGTCCTCTATCTCTCCTCTCGCTCTCCTCTCTCTCTCCTCTCTCTGTCTTCTCTCTCCTCGCTCTGTCATCTCTCTCTCCTCTCTCTCTCCTCTCTCTGTCCTCTCTCTCCTCGCTCTGTCCTCTCTCTCTCCTCTCTGTCTTCTCTCTCCTCTCTCTGTCCTCTCTTTAATCTCTCTCTCTCCTCTCTCTGTCCTCTCTGTCCTCTCTCTCTCTCTGTCCTCTCTCTCTCTCCTCTCTCTCTCCTCTCTCTCTCCTCTCTGTCCTCTCTGTCCTCTCTCTCTCCTCTCTGTCCTCTCTCCTCTCTCTGTCCTCTCTCTCCTCTCTCTGTCCTCTCTCTCTCTTCTCTCTCTCTCTTCCCTCTGTCCTCTCTCTCTCATCTCTCTGTCCTCTCTCGCTCCTCTCTCTCTCTTCTCTCTCTCTCCTCTCTCTGTCCTCTCTCTCTGTCCTCTCTTCTCTCTCTGTCCTCTCTTCTCTCTCTCTCCTCTCTCTGTTCTCTCTCTCTCTCTCCTCTCGCTCTCCTCTCTCTCTCCTCTCTCTGTCCTCTCTCTCTCCTCTCTCTCTCCTCTCTCTGTCCTCTCTGTCCTCTCTCTCTCCTCTCTCTGTCCTCTCTCTCTCCTCTCTCTCTGTCCTCTCTCTCCTCTCTCTGTCCTCCCTCTCCTCTCTCTGTCCTCTCTCTCTCTTCTCTCTCTCTCTTCCCTCTGTCCTCTCTCTCTCATCTCTCTGTCCTCTCTCGCTCCTCTCTCTCTCTTCTCTCTCTCTCCTCTTTCTGTCCTCTCTTCTCTCTCTGTCCTCTCTTCTCTCTCTGTCCTCTCTTCTCTCTCTGTCCTCTCTTCTCTCTCTGTCCTCTCTTCTCTCTCTCTCCTCTCTCTGTTCTCTCTCTCTCCCTCCTCTCTCTCTCCTCTCGCTCTCCTCTCTCTCTCCTCTCTCTGTCCTCTCTCTCTCCTCTCTCTCTCCTCTATCTGTCCTCTCTCCTCTCTCTCTCTGTCCTCTCTCTCCTCTCTCTGTCCTCTCTCTCTCTTCTCTCTCTGTCCTCTCTCTCCTCTCTCTGTTCTCTCTCTCCCTCCTCTCTCTCTCCTCTCTCTGTCCTCTATCTCTCCTCTCGCTCTCCTCTCTCTCTCCTCTCTCTGTCTTCTCTCTCCTCGCTCTGTCCTCTCTCTCTCCTCTCTCTCTCCTCTCTCTGTCCTCTCTCTCCTCGCTCTGTCCTCTCTCTCTCCTCTCTGTCTTCTCTCTCCTCTCTCTGTCCTCTCTTTAATCTCTCTCTCTCCTCTCTCTGTCCTCTCTGTCCTCTCTCTCTCCTCTCTCTGTCCTCTCTGTCCTCTCTCTCTCCTCTCTCTCTCCTCTCTCTGTCCTCTCTGTCCTCTCTCTCTCCTCTCTCTCTCTGTCCTCTCTCTCCTCTCTCTGTCCTCTCTCTCCTCTCTCTGTCCTCTCTCTTTCCTCTCTCTCTCCTCTCTCTCTCCTCTCTCTGTTCTCTCTCTCTGTCCTCTCTCTCTCTTCTCTCTCTGTCCTCTCTCTCCTCTCTCTGTCTCTCTCTCTCTCTCTCTGTCCTCTCTCTCCTCTCTCTGTTCTCTCTCTCTCCCTCCTCTCTCTCTCCTCTCTCTGTCCTCTCTCTCTCCTCTCTCTCTCCTCTCTCTCTCCTCTCTCTGTCCTCTCTGTCCTCTCTCTCCTCTCTCTGTCCTCTCTCTTTCCTCTCTCTCTCCTCTCTCTCTCCTCTCTCTGTTCTCTCTCTCTCTCTCTTCTCTCTCTCTTCTCTCTCTGTCCTCTCTCTCCTCTCTCTGTCCTCTCTCTCTCTTCTCTCTCTGTCCTCTCTCTCCTCTCTCTGTTCTCTCTCTCTCCCTCCTCTCTCTCTCCTCTCTCTGTCCTCTCTCTCTCCTCTCTCTCTCCTCTCTCTCTCCTCTCTCTGTCCTCTCTGTCCTCTCTCTCCTCTCTCTGTCCTCTCTCTCTCTTCTCTCTCTCTCTCTCTCCTCTCTCTCTCTCTCTCTCTGTCCTCTCTCTCTCCTCTCTCTCTCCTCTCTCTCTCCTCTCTCTGTCCTCTCTGTCCTCTCTCTCCTCTCTCTGTCCTCTCTCTCCTCTCTCTGTCCTCTCTCTTTCCTCTCTCTCTCCTCTCTCTCTCCTCTCTCTGTTCTCTCTCTCTCTCCTCTCTCTCTGTCCTCTCTCTGTCCTGTGTCCAACATTGAGGATATGTCAATCATCCTGTTAGCTGCTGCTGAGTAATGACCCAGACCCAGAGCAGGACCCAATCCAGGACCCAGACCAAGACCCAGACCAGGACCCAGACCAAGACCCAGACCAGGACCCAGACCAGGCCTGGACCAGGGCAAGAACGAGGGCAAGGACCAGGACCAAGACCCGGACCAGGAACCAGATTAGGACCCAGACTAGGACCCAGACCAGGGCCAGGACCAGGGCAAGGACTAGGACCAGAACCCGGAACAGTCTCTTGTCTACAACACAGTAACAGTCTGCTCTGCTTGGGCCCAGAGCCGTGCCGAGCCTGTGATGCATCCTCCTCGCGTCCTCCTGTCCTCTGTCCCCGTGTCCTCCAGGACCAGGAGTCAGGAGGACCATGTGTGCAGTTAAAGCGCGTTCATGTCCAGCGAACCCGCGTTAGGGACGAGTCTCACGTCTCCCCGTAAGCGCAGAATAACAGCGATCGTTGGCACGGAGCTAGCAGGGTGGAGGAGGGGGCCCGGCTCCATCTCTGATCATCCCTGCTGCACTCACACAACCGCGTCACCCCTCCGCTCCAGCCGCGTCACCGCCTCCAAAGAAACGGTGTCTCAGAAATGTCCCCGAGTCTCACACATGTCCCGGTGTCTCGGACATGTCCCGGTCCACCACAGGAGGACCGCGGAGCTGCGTGTGCCGTTAGTCTTACCGTGATCACAGCCTCCACAAAGAGACCGCAGCCGGAGCCTCAGCTCTGAGTCCCGCTGTCGTCCTGCGGCTTCATCCCCATCGTCCTCACGTCCTCCGCCGCTCCACTGATCTGCTCCGGCCGCAGCAGCGTCTGCCCTGTTCGCTCCGAGCAGAGACACTGCAGCGATGGGGGAGGAGGGCGTGTGTGTGTGTGTCTGTGTACGTGTGCGTGTACGTGTGTTTATGTGCGTGCGTGTGTGTATCTATGCGTGCGCGCGCGTTTGTGTCTGTGTGTTTCTATGTACGTGTCTGCATGTGCGTGCGCGTGCGTGCGTGTGTGCCACAGATAGAGACAGAGGGAGTGGAGAGCAGAGCTGCAGGGAGGAGTCAGTCGAGAGAGAGAGGAGGAAAAGGGAAATGCTCAGGATTAAATCCTGCTGGAAACAAAAGGCCCTGATGCCACACAGGCACGCACGGCACGGCACAGCACGCACGGCACGCACGGCAGGACTACACAGAGGTCTGGTGTGTTTGCTGAGCGTTTTCTGAGCTCTGGTCCGGTTGTGATTTCATTGATGACTGAGAGAACAACGCTGATTGGCCGAGAGGGAGGAGGAGGAGACAGAGGAGCGGGAGAAAGGGGAGGCAACAAATGACGAGGAGGGCCGTGCCGTACTGTGCTGTTTCCGTGCCAACTGTTCCTGTGACAGTGGGATGACTTCCTCTTCTGTGATTGGCTGTAACTTAGAGAGAGACTCCTCTGTGTTTCTCCTTTAGATGATCGGAGGTGTTTGAAGAGGAGCTGTACATCCTCCTCAGCCTCCTCAGGTCCTGAGGTCCTGGTCCTCAGCCTCCTCAGGGCCTGAGGTCCTGGTCCTCAGCCTCCTCAAGTCCTGAGGTGCTGGCCCTCAGTCTCCCCAGGTCCTAGTCCTCAGTCCCCTCAGCTTCTGGTCTTCAGACTCCTTAGGCCCTGGCCCTCAGCTTCATCAGGTCCTGGTCCTCCACAGATCCTGGAACTCAGTCCCCTGAGGGTCCTCAGGGTTTAGACTCGGTCCTCAGGTTTTAGACTCGGTCCTCAGGGTTTAGACTTGGTCCTCAGGGTTTAGACTTGGTCCTCAGGGTTTAGACTTGGTCCTCAGGGTTCAGACTCGGTCATCAGGGTCTAGACTCAGCCCCCAGGGTTTACTAAACCAGTCTTTTCCAGGATCAGGTTCAGAAACATTTACGATGTTTTTTCTGTCTTTAATTGGTTTCTGTTACTGTGTTCTTAATCCTCTGGGAATCAGTCCTGCTGTGACCTCCTGCTGTGACCTCCTGCTGTGACCTCCTGCTGTGGCCTCCTGCTGTGACCTCCTGCTGTGACCTCCTGCTGCCCCCTCACTCACTGTCCGCTGAAAAGAGGCCAAGGTGAAAAAAAGAAAAGAGAATGTATCTCAAGGGAAATAAAGATGAAGTAACAGTGAAGATGTTGTTGTCTGTATCTGAAGATGTTTAAAAATATATATATTTTTACTTTTATTGAACAGACAGCCTTTGACCCCGTAAGTCTTTTATCATGTCATTTTACCCTTTACTGTTAAAACTTGTGATGCATTTTGTTTTTATGTTCTACTGCTGCAGCCCCACTTGAGGCCACACTGCCCCCTAGTGACACTGCCCCCTAGTGACCATCTGCAGCTGCTGCAGTCACACTTGAGGAAGCACTGCCCCCTCGTGGCTATCTGCAGGTAATGCAGAGAAACGCTGTTGCTCTTCATTAAAGACACATTTAAACTTTGTCAATTTTTTCTTGGACGATGTTGATTCATGTCATTAGAATTCAAAGAAATTCAATGTATCAGTGTATCGCCCTAAATTACAACAGAAGTCTTCTTTGAGGACACAGTTGTGGATTCACCAACAACAGATCAGAAAATCAAAACACAGGAAATATAGGAGCCATTGGTTCATAAAGAGCAGGATTCAGGTTGTAGATCCAGGACTGAGGTTGTAGATCCAGGACTGAGGTTGTAGATCCAGGACTGAGGCTGCAGATCCAGGACTGAGGCTGCAGATCCAGGACTGAGGCTGTAGATCCAGGACTGAGGTTGTAGATCCAAGACTGAGGTTGTAGATCCAGGACTGAGGTTGTATTGATCATCCAGGACTGAGGCTGTAGATCCAGGACTGAGGCTGTAGATCCAGGACTGAGGCTGTAGATCCAGGACTGAGGCTGTAGATCCAGGACTGAGGCTGTAGATCCAGGACTGAGGCTGTAGACCCAGGACTGAGGCTGTATTGATCCAGGACTGAGGCTGTAGACCCAGGACTGAGGCTGTATTGACCCAGGAATGTGCATGAGAGCTGGAGTGCTATCCAGGTCAATGTGCCATCTTGCAATACATAGGTTGACAAGGGACAAAAAGGAAGCGAGAGTTGCGCTTTTGTTTCACATGAGCAACTAATATCATTGCTTCCACCATGCCCTTGTTTGAAGTAGGAACCATGGAGGACCACAGTTATGTAAATGAACCATGGAGGACCACAGTTATGTAAATGAACCATGGAGGACCACAGTTATGTAAATGAACAATGGAGGACCACAGTCAATTATCTATTTAGAAACCGGCGTCATAACAGCAAACGTGTCAACATTGCAAACCACACGCACCAAAGGCAGATTTTTTCACTCCGACAATAACTTTTTTGACACCAACAGTAATGAGAACGAGTCTGAATCTGCAACTGACCCGCTCAGTCAGTCCAACAGTCAGTCCAACTACTATGTAAACAAGTTTAACAAAACTTATTCAGGGAAAAGCCTCAAATATGCAAAACAATCACCAGAATACGTTTATCGAGCGTGAGTTTGAATCCACAAGTTAAAGCCACAGTTCAGCCGCCGCTGTGTACATCCATGTCCAAGGCATTGTCTTCTCCTTTTTAAAAACATTAGAGCATCAGTGCAGCACACGGGACGCTTCAGGACGCGGACTATCTATTTCTATATATTGTTGATATCTTAGCGCTACCGTGTCAAGTGACCAAGACATATGAAGTATTCTGGTCATTTATCAAACTAAAGGATTACTTCCTTGGCCCCGGTCCGAATGACTGGGAGTTGGGAACCACTGTCAAAGACGTTTATCATCCTTCCAAGCCACTGCATATATGATCTCTCAACTCTAGATGGGAGTAAAATCTACACAGTGTACCTTTAACGTGGATGGGAAGCTGATTCCACAGTAAAGGAGCTTGGAGCTAAATGCTTTGTCGCCGACAGAGCTTTTTTGAGAGTTTAGGAACCACCAGACGCCTGGCACTTTGCAAGTGCAGTGCTCGGTTTGGTTGATATGACACTAACGTGTCCTAGAGGTAAGGAGCTATGTCATTCATGGCTTTGTACAGTATGTTAGAAGAAGGATTTTACATTTCATTCTATACTCCACTGGAAGACAGTGATTGTGAGGAGTGATTTTAACACTGGAGTTATGTGCTCCCTCCTTTTGGTGTCTGTTCAGATTCCTGCTGCTGTGTTTTAGATTTAGGTCAAAGTCAATGAAAGGCTTTAAAGACTTAAGTCAAATAAACTATACATCCACTAACAGGAAGTATCCATACGTTTAATATGATTATAATTCAGCGGTACTGGTTCTGAACCAGGGAGTGAAGCGCTCATCGCCAAAGTTTAGGCTGTTGCACAAATGCTATTTATTTAAGACGTTGTCCTCATAAAAAAGCAGGAGATAATACTCTCTGAAGAGACTGAAGGTCAGAGGTCAGGGGTGATTGATCGCCCTTTTTCTGAGGTGTGACTACAGTATGTTGTCATCATCATGACTTTATGATGCATTATAGATCAACTATAAGTGATAGCTATAAAAAATGAGCTTCTGTCAGTCTGCCCCAGGGCAGCTGTGTCATAAAAGCATTGTATAAACACAACAACATCGATAATAGTATAGTTGATGTATTCTAATTTTTATGTCAGGGCTTAGATGTCGATTCCAGGTTTCACTGTTGTATTGTGAAGTGTATATAATGAACATATATTACATATATTTATTATCAATGGTGATGTGTTTAAAGAGAGAGCGTACAGATGCGCGTGCACGTCCTGCATAAACTACAGCAGGCAGTGCGCGCCCCCGTGACGCCATAGAAAACAAAGCGTCTTCCATAAGACGCGGCTGCAGACACCGCGACATTATCAGCTCCTCTGCGGCTCCTGATGGATCTCCTCTGGACATAGCCCTGCTGCTCAGCGGCCCGGGCTGGATATACACGGAGGTCTTCATCGAGAACACATTATCACCGTGTTTTGCTTCGGTGCTTTGTCTCTTGCACCGTCCCCGTTCCAGGCGCAGCACCTTCAGCTGCTGGTCCGAGCTGCAGCCGGGATGGATCACCATGTTACCACTTAAAGCTGTATATTAGGAAGACTTGAGTGAGCAGGAAAAGCATCTCCTGGATCCGGGCTGTAGTGCTGTCTGTGCGGCTGTAATCTGCCTCAGCAGCAGCCATGGCGGAGCAGGGCTACTCGTCCTGGTGAGTGCGGACGGGGAGCGTTAGCCTCGGCTTCTGTCTGTGACAGAGCCTCACACTCATGCACAGAATCATCTCTATACTTCTATATTTACTGACAAAGGCACATGACTGCTGAATGAATGTATATTTACAGACGCAAACGGTGAGGCTAGCAGAGGCTAATCAGAGCAACAGCTGATGCTAATGCTAACATGCTATCGTTCCTGGAATGAAAGGGTGATGCTAGTTAACATGCTAACAGAGCATCTTCACTGGGGAAAGACTTCAACAGCTTCAACACAAGAGGAGAGAGATGGCTCTGCTGTGTGGTACTTCTGTGGTACTATGTGGTGCGGTACTTCTCTGTTCTGGTACATCTATTTTTTTCTGCATTTGTTTATTCTCTGGGACTTAACAGAATGGAAAGAAAATCAGATGCCGATGTTGATGCACCTTTTGTTCAAACATCAGAAGATGGAAGGACATCAAGACTGTAGGGGCCTGTAGTGTAGGGCACTGTGGTGTGGTGTAGGGCATTGGTTCCCTAACCCCCTCCACAGGATCACGGGAGGATTTCCATTAAAAACATGTTTAAAGATCTGGAACAAATACCCCTTAAATATTTTTGTTGTCATATTGATTTGATTCAATATGACTAATTGTTAAATTGTGTTTGGAGAAAAGTTTATAAAAATATATTGTATTTTATATTAATTTGTGGGGGAGAAAAGCCGGTTGATGGTGCGAAAGCAACGGCAGAGGGAACATCCGAAAGGGCACCAGAGAAATGTGAGGGCGCCCTCCAAGCCCAACACTTACACCCAGCTTACGCCAAATCAAGGAAATGCATGCTTTACATTTCACACAACGGAAAGTGTTGTTGAGCTGGGGTGGGGGGTCGCGGGCTAAAAACTTTGGGAACCCCTGGTGTAGGGGACTGTGGTGTCCTCCTGAGGTGTGTCTAAATAAAGCTGTTTCTTTCAGGGCGTACTCCCTGGTGGACTCAAGTCAGGTGTCCACCTTCCTCATCTCCATCCTCCTCATCGTCTACGGCAGCTTTAGGTACGTGTCACATGATCACAGGTCACATGTCATCGTTTCAATTTTAAAGTAACACTTCTGACTGGACTCTTGAGTCATTGCTCACATGGAAGGATGCATCTGTAAATATCAAGCCCCGGTGATCCAAGATGGCGCCCTATTCAAATGAATGGTTGCGCTCAGTGGCGCTTTGTGACGGCATGGGAGCTGAAAGATTAGCGGAAGTTGTCTGAAACTCGCAAAGATCTATGGGAAACTCGCCTGTATTTGGGCATCGTCTGGTCCTCCCGGTTCTGTGCAGTGGATGATCTCCCATAATGCGTTGCGCCAAACACGCGTGTGTGGGTCTCACACCGCGTCTCACGCACGTGGACAGAGGGGCTCGGCTGCGCTCTGACCAATCAGAGCAGTTCATCAGAGCGGGAGTTAGAGCGAGAGCCAGACGAGCAGAGTTTGTGGCACTAAAGTGTGGATTTAAAGAAAAGCAAAGGATTTAAGAAAAAAAGTTCAGGATGACAAGGGACACTAAAATCCCCACAAAATCCTATCTTTATGAAAGCTGTAGGTTCTCTGTCATCTGAGGTCGAGCTGTTTTAGTTTACATTGAGTTCTATGGGGAAAATTTCTGGGTAGCCCACGTGAATTTAGTCTGGTTTAGTCTGCAGTACCGCGAGAATCCCCTGAGCACTTGGGTTCTTCAGCTATAAACTAGCAATACCCTATCCAGTTATTATAATAGATCCATGCTTGTGCCCAGTAGCGCATGGGACATATAGGAGGACCAAGAGATTAGCGGAACTCGCCTATATTTGGGCATCGTCTGGTCCTCCTGGTTCTGCGCAGTGGACGAGCTCCCATGATGCTTTGCGCAAAATATGCGTGTGTCGCTCTAGTGCACGTGCACAGAGGGGCTCGGCCGCGCTTTGACCAATCAGAGCAGCAGCAGAGCGGAGTCAGAGCGGTAAGGAAACGAGCAGAGTTTGTGGCAGTAAAGTGTGGATTTAAAGAAAACCGAAGGATTTAATAAGAAAAACTACAGTGCCCATGGGTGGGACAGCTGTAAGCTAGTAATACCCTATCCAGTTGTTATTATAGATCCATAAATGTGTGATCCCAGAACAAGGAAATGGAAGCATCAGGTGTGATGTCACAGGTAGGCCTGTCACGATTACAAATTTTGCTGGACGATTAATTGTCTCAGAATTTATTGCGATAGGCGATAGTATTGTTGTTCTGAGATCATTTTCATCTAATACAATGATATCGATGCAGGTACACCTTTCAAAGAGAAATACTTTTATTTTTAAAGACCACCGCCGGAAGTAAAAAGTCGCTAGCTTGATGCTAACGCTTTTTGTGTAAAGTTCTTGCCAATACTGCAGCTCTGCAGCGTCTCTTTGTCCAGAGACCTTCCAGAGACTTGATATAACCGCAGTATGTGTTCACGGAGGTGCGTCATAAGTTTATTTTATTATTAAACGGTACTTCCGCATTGGGGAACGCGCTAGCTAGCTAGTTAGCTAACTGCGCTAGTTTAGTCACAACTAGAGCCTGAAGGAGAAGAACTACGGTGTCCCCCGTTTTCAATCCTGGTTTAGTCCTAGGTCCCGTTTTTTGTATTTTTGAGCTGTTTCAGTCTGCTCGCGTCACTTGTGACCACTTTGCGGCTCTCTGACCCGAGAGGGAGAGGGAGAGAGAGAGGGGAAAACAAGCATGCAAATGGAATTCATCGCAGCCAGGAAAACTATCGAGCTAATTTTAATTATCATGCGATTAATTGATTTATTGAATATTGCAACAGGCCTAGTCACAGGGTGTGATGTCACATGGTCTCTCTCTTTAGTAAGTAATCTTTATTTATATACCGCCTTTGACAGACCAGAGTCACAAAGCGGTTTACAATTGTTATATTTTGGGCATTTGTATCGCGGGGTCGCCAGTACAGTACTGACGCATGTCAGACCTATTCTACATGTTTTAGGGGAAACCGGAGTACCCGTAGGAAACCTACACAGACACGGGGAGAACATGCAAACTCCACTCAGAAAGGCCCTGGTCCGACCGGGATTTGAACCCAGGACCTTCTTGCTGAGAGGCGAGAGTGCTATCCACTCAGCCACCGTGCCGCCCATGCTCTTTCTGCTAATATGGTCTCTCTCTCTCTGCTCACATTGTCTCTCTCTCTCTCACTACTCACATGGTCTCTCTCTCTCTGCTCACATTGTCTCTCTCTCTCTCACTACTCACATGGTCTCTCTCTCTCTGCTCACATGGTCTTACGTTCTCTCTCTGCTCACATGGTCTATCCCTCTGCTCACATGGTGTCTCTCTCTTCAGGTCGTTGAACATGGACTGTGAGAACCAGGAGAAGGACAAGGACGGGAACCCCACTGCAGCAGGAGCGTTCAACAACAGCAACACCAACAACAGTGAGTCTGAGCCAACGCCACTCACTCATACACAGGTGTCATACACAGGTGTCATACACAGGTGTCATACACAGGTGTCATACACAGGTGTCATGTTCAGATAACTCCTGATAGAGCTTTAACATATGTAGACACTTTTAGGTATTTGGGCTTGTGGATTGACCCTGAGCTGACATTTAAGCCACACATTGATTACATTGGAAAAAAAATTAAGCAATGCTTGGGTCAATTATATCGTTCAATAGAATGTTTTACATTTTGAAACCAGAAAACGTATCGCTCAACAACTACTTTTGCCAATAATGGACTACTCTGACATTGTTTTCCACAGTTCTAACATAACCACCCTAAAACCTCTGGATTTACTTTATAATGCAGTCTGTAGATTTGTTCTAAGATGTCCTTTCACGACACACCACTGTATTCTTTATGACCAACTGAACTGGCTGCAGGCAAAGGAAAGGAGACTTTACCATTGGTACATTTTTATCTTTAAATGTGTCAATGGTGCTAGTCAATGGTGCTAGTCAATGCCCCCCCTATCTCCAAAAACATCTGGTGAGAGCTACCTCTTCATATGCACTGAGACATCTACAGCATGTCACTCTCATTACTCCCAGAGTACATAAGGAGATTGGGAGACACGCGTTCTGTTACAGAGCCCCTGAGGACTGGAACAATCTCCCAGTTTCGATAAAAACTATTTCCTCACTTACCACTGTTAAAACTGCTTTAGCTACACACGTTAAGTCGGCATGTGATTGCTTTAAGTAGCGTTCAAGGCATAAATAAATAAAAGTAATAACTGTACCCAAAGTTACTGAAGGAGTGGATGTGTACAAGGTTTTGAGATGGGCATGGTGTGGAAGAGCAAAATCTTTTTATTTTTTATTTATTTATTTATTTTTTAAAAATTTTTTTTCTTTCTGTCTTTATGTACTGTATGTGCTTATTGTCTTGTCTGTCTTTGTGGTCATGTATGTAACTTTTTTTTATAACCGGACCCCCTCGAAAAAGAGATGATTAATCTCAAGGGGCCATCCACAATAAATAAAATAAAATACACAGGTGTCATACACAGGTGTCATACACAGGTGTTGCTCAAACACAGGTGTTGCTCATACACAGGTGTCTCCACAGGTATCCAGACCATAGACTCAACTCAGGCGCTGTTCCTACCGATCGGAGCCTCCGTCTCGCTCCTCGTCATGTTCTTCTTCTTTGATTCTGTTCAAGTGGTGTTCACCATCTGTACTGCAGGTAAGTGATGTCACACACTGATGTCACACACTGATGATGTCACACACTGATTATGTCACACACTGATGATGTCGCACACTGACCTGTGACTTCACTCTACACTGAATAACGTTGTCGTCTTCTACAGTTCTTGCAACAATTGCGTTTGCGTTCCTGCTTTTGCCGATGTGTCAGTATCTGACCCGACCCTGTGCTCCACAGAATAAGTGAGTCCCTCTCCTCCTGCGCTGCTCTGTGTGTCAGTCTGTAACCTCAGGTCTCTGTGCTGCAGGATTTCCTTTGGGTGCTGCGGGCGCTTCACCCTGGCAGAGCTGCTGTCCTTCTCCCTGTCTGTGATGTTGGTGTTAATCTGGGTCCTGACGGGACACTGGCTCCTCATGGACGGTCTGTCCCCATCAATGTGTAGTCAGTGTTGTGTAGTCAATGAGACTAATGTCCTGTTTGTATCATCAGCTTTAGCCATGGGGTTGTGTGTTGCCATGATCGCTTTTGTGCGACTGCCCAGTCTGAAGGTATCCTGTCTCCTCTTGTCAGGACTATTGATCTACGACGTGTTCTGGGTACACACACACACACGCACACGCACACACACACGTACGCATGTTCACACGCACACACGTACGCCCGCACACACATGTATGCACACATGTACAAACAGCTTTACAGGATGGTCAAAAAGTCGGCAAAACGCTACGTTCCACATGTGTGTCAATGCTGAGGGGATTGTGTTATTTTGGACCAGTCTAGTTTAGCCTCTGTGGAATTTTGAATGCACTCGTTAAATAAATGGACTGCCCACAGACGCCGAAAGTGGTGGCACATTAGTTTGAACGGCGGAGATAGGCGTGACTACATCCGTTAATATTTAGTCTATGACAGACTCACATGCACGCACACACACACACACTCTGAGCCCTGCCTCTCTCCTCAGGTCTTCTTCTCAGCCTACATCTTTAACAGTAATGTGATGGTGAAAGTGGCCACTCAGCCGGCGGAGAATCCCATCGATGTTTTGTCCCGAAAGCTGCACCTGGGGCCAGGGGTCGGACGGGACGTTCCCCGACTGTCGTTACCCGGGAAACTGGTGTTCCCCAGGTTAGAGCTAACACTAGCCTCACCCCTTGTCTCACTCTTTGTCTCACCCTTTGTATCTCACCCTCCATCTCACCCTTTGTCTTGCCCTTGTCTCACCCTTTGTCTCGCCCTTTGTCTTGCCCTTGTCTCGCCCTTTGTCTTGCCCTTGTCTCACCCTTTGTCTCGCCCTTTGTCTTGCCCTTGTCTCGCCCTTTGTCTTGCCCTTGTCTCACCCTTTGTCTTGCCCTTGTCTCACCCTTTGTCTTGCCATTGTCTCTCCCCTCGTCTCACCTGTCGTCTTGCCCCTTGTTTCTCTCCTGGCCTCACTCTTCGTCTCACCCTTTGTCTCACCCCAAACAGCTCCACAGGGAGTCACTTCTCAATGCTGGGGATCGGGGACATCGTAATGCCTGGCCTGTTGCTGTGTTTCGTCCTGCGCTACGATAACTACAAGAAGCAGGCGAGCGGGGAGGGGACCCCCATATCAGGGCGCATGCAGAGGGTCTCTTACTTCCACTGCACCCTAGTGGGCTACTTTGTGGGTGAGTATCTGTGTTTTCATCAACCCCAACCTTGGAGCAGTTAGCAGCAGAGCTAACCCTGTGGTCAGGAAAATTCTGAATCACAATCACATTCCTGAATTCAGACAGTGATTTGGAACTACTTGGCAGAGGTCTGTACTCTACGAGGCCTCCTACTGAACTTTGTCTCTGTCAGGTCTGCTGACGGCGACTGTGGCCTCACGGATCCACCGTGCCGCTCAGCCTGCTCTGCTCTACCTGGTGCCCTTCACTCTGCTGCCTCTGCTCACCATGGCCTACCTGAAGGTAAGGCCCAGGACCGAGTCTGTAGACCCAGGACCGAGTCTGTAGACCCAGGACCGAGTCTGTAGACCCAGGACCTAAGCTGTCTGTGCTTGTTCTGTTTCCAGGGAGACTTGCGGCGCATGTGGTCGGAGCCCTTCCACACAAAGACGCCCACCTCACGATTTCTTGAGGTATGATGGTCTGGGACCAGCGGGACCAGTGAGCGGCCCCTGGTCTGTGCCCGAGGGACGGGCCCTGAGTGAGGCCCCCAGTGAGGTCTTCTCTGAAGCAGACTCCAGTGCCCCTAAACTCGGGCCAGACTTCCCTCATCGTTGCTTCTCTCATTTGGTTTGTCGCTCACACGTCGGTCAAATGCATTCGTTTGTCCTGGATACGTTCCATTGATACAGGCCCAGCGCTCTCTCTGAACTCTGACCTCTGCATCAGCTCAGGGTCAGGTCCGGCGCCACCTTGTGGACGTACAGTTGTGAGATTGGTCTCTATGTTTTTCGTCGTCCTTTTATTATTATTAATAATCTGGGACAATTGAAGATGAGGACAGCTCCTTTGTCCGTCTCCTGCTCACAAATAACTATGTATTTTATTTAGAAAAGTTTTATTCTTGGCATATACAGAAATGACCCATTATAATATGTTGAACAGGCTCCAGTGTCGTGGGGCTGTGTTTGTATATATCTGTACACATGTATTTGCAATACTTTTCTGACTTTGTGTGTTTGGTGCATGACGACAAGGACGGGAAACCAAGGCCAGCTTGGTTGGGACTGAACCTGTAGGGTTTGGAGGACTCGGTGGGGGCAGCATCCTGCTCTGGTGTGGTGTTTGTTTGAGGTCGAGTGAGATGGTTCTTTTAATGGTTTTAATTTGAAACGTGACAATAGTCAGGTTTCTAGTTGGTATTAAACATGTGACTCACAAAGTACTTTTAGGCCAGTTTTATAGCAGACTCTGGAGACAGTGTAACAGTGTTTTTCTTTCCTTTTTATTTGGAAATAAATGAATGTTATTTTAGGGTTTTGTAGGTCGTGTTTGATCAGGTTTTCTACAGTTTTACTGCACAAACAATGAAAACACTAAAAGTCTCTTATTTCAGAGACTTCTTACAAATCATGTGGACGAGATTAAAAATCGAGATCGGTAACTGTCAGTGTTTCACCGACAAGACCTGACTATTGTGTGAGTCTGTGTGTGTGAGACTCTGTGAGATTGACAGACTGACGTGTGTGTGTTTACCTTTTTATAGAACATTTGTTTTTACCCCAATGTTTGTGAAGGTTTTCTTTAGTGCTTTATTTTGTATTTCCCCAAACTGCTGAGGTCCGGCCCCTCCTGGTATGACCTGGTTCTGTTCAAACAGTGAAGTGTGTAGTGAACAGGAATCGCTTGATCTCTTCTCTGCCCCCTCTTCCTGTCTCCGCCCTCTCCTGACTCCGCCCCCTCTCTTGACTCCTCCTGTGCCGTGTCCTTCTGCTGTAAATAAATTCTCTTAACTGTATCATGCCTCCTTCTGTGTACGCTGTATATAGCCATCATGTTAGAGAGAGCAGTGTCTGCAGTGAGAGCTCCCTGTAACCTCTGGACCAGGGCAGCAGAAGTTCATGGTTAAACTTTATTGTCCCTTCAGTGAAATGTGTTTTAGGCTCACAGCTGCTGGACACAAACATACATTAGACTCTGATTATGTATCGGATTAAAACCCTCAACCCAAAGAGTCAAATGGGCTCACAAAAGATGTTTTCTAATAAGGTGAGGACAGCAAGTACTCTGTTGGACAAAATGATCGCGTTTGAGACTAAAGTCACAAACGGTAGTCTAACATGAGAGAGCACTGAAGGAAATGACCAAATATAATTAAATGGTTTTAGTTTAATTCATTTGAAATCAGATTGTTTAGACAGATGGAGATATGTCTTCCTCTGTGGGACGTCCCTCCACAAACTTCCATTTGGCCTGAGAGATGACAGCCAGACTGAAAAACTACAGCCTCAGTCCTGGGTCTACAGCCTCAGTCCTGGGTCTACAGCAGCATCTTTCCCCTAAACACTGAAGCAGTTGACAGAATGTGCAAACAGGACACACATGAAGCATACTGAAGGCCAGGGCTGGACTGGCCATCGGGCGTACCGGGCAATGCCCGAAGGGCCGATGCCCATATTTGGGCCGGTCTGTCTGCCTCATCCAAAAACATGTTTGTGAAAAGTGTAAATCCGTTGAGAAATGTTTGAGGGGCGCGCGCGTGTCCGCGGGGCACCTGCTGTATGTACTTGAACGGGATTCCACCGCGGTAAAGTGAGCCGCATCTTTCACCTCCGAAGTAAAACGGCCCGCATCGAGAGAAAAGCAGTGCGCGTTTGGTTGACTGCTTACGGTAATAGCAGAACAGCCTTTCGCTGTCAGCTTTTCTCCTCGAACAGAAAGCGCGCTTAGGAGACTCGTTTTGTGAATAAACCCTTATTTGGAAAAGCATGTAAAAACTTAAAATGTTCGACATTTAATTTAGTCAAAAAGTGAAATTTTCAGCTGCTGTCCATTTTTACATTAAAGACTTGAGTATCTTATTCCACTGGGTGTATGACCTCACCACTGCCTTCACCGCTGTGCCTACAACCACAAACCTTTACTTTGGAAATTGTGGGTAAAATTGAGACAAATTACACGTTTTAGTCCAAAATACACAAAACTAAGAAAATTCCCACCTTTGATCTACTGCAGTGTCTCCCAAAGTGGGGTCCGCGGCCCCCTGGTGTGCCGCGAGGGTACTGCAGGGGGGCCGCGGGAGGTCATAAAAAAAATAAAAAAAATAATATAATTATTTAATGTTAAATTTATAATGTTTTGTTTGTAATATTAAAATATTTGTGTTCATTATTTGACTTGAATAATCCACTGTAATCATTTTTGTATTACAATGTTTGTAGCAGAGGCTATTTCCCCAAAATAAAATAACCAGAAGAGCCTATTCTTAATGTTGTCTTCTTGGTTATTATTTTGGGGGGCCACGCAGACCCGTCAGATTTTTAAGGGGGCCTCGGTGTTACTGAGTTTGGGAATGGCTGATCTACTGTAACTTTTTTACTGTAAAAAGGTGTGAGACTAATTTCACTGGATTCATGACCTCAACATTGCCCTCTACCACTGTACCAAAGACCAGACACTTTTACTGTAGAAATATTGAGAAATATTGATTTAAAGTAGCCATTTTGGTCCAAAATACCCCCAAAATAGTCAAAACATGTCACTTTTGATCTACTGTAACTTTTTACTGTAAAAAGGTGTGCGACTAATTTCACTGGATTCATGACCTCATGATTGCCCTCTACCACTGTACCAAAGACCAGAAACTTTTACTGTAGAAATCTGGAGAAATATGGAGTTATAAGTAGCCATTTTGGTCCAAAATAGCCTAAAAATGGTCAAAACATGTCACTTTTGATCTACTGTATCTTCTTACTGTAAAAAGGTGTGCGACTAATTTCACTGGATTCATGACCTCATGATTGCCCTCTACCACTGTACCAAAGACCAGAAACTTTTACTGTAGAAATTTGGATAAATATGGAGTTAAAGTAGCCATTTTGGTCCAAAATAGCCTAAAAATGGTCAAAACATGTCCTGTTTGATCTACTGTAACTTATTACTGTAAAAACGTGTGCGACTAATTTCACTGGATTCATGACCTCATGATTGCCCTGTACCAAAGACCAGGAACTTTTACTGTAGAAATCTGGAGAAATATGGAGTTAAAGTAGCCATTTTGGTCCAAAATAGCCTAAAAATTGTCAAAACATGTCACTTTTGATCTACTGTAACTTTTCACTGTAAAAAGGTGTGCGACTAATTTCACTGGATTCATGACCTCAACATTGCCCTCTACCACTGTACCAAAGACCAGGAACTTTTACTGTAGAAATCTGGAGAAATATGGAGTTAAAGTAGCCATTTTGGTCCAAAATCAGCCTAAAAATTGTCAAAACATGTCACTTTTGATCTACTGTAACTTTGGAAGAGTAATCAGTGGAAGTAATGTTGATTATTTCAATTCAAAAGGTACTTACGTTATTTCTAAATCTGTCAGCCGCACTGTTAATGTTCCGAGGAGCTCACCCGGCCAGGAGACAGGGACAGACTGGCTCCAATAAAGAAACAGGTTGGTTGAAAGGCTGAAAAAAAAAGTACTTATTGTGCTCTTACTATCCAAAATGTATAAGTGGGTGTGTTGTGTGAATCAGGATAAACTAGGGATGAAAATATTCCACGGATCCACGCTTTAAACCTTTATATGCTCGATAATGTAATTTCTGTGAAATGTGTGGGACAGGGGCACTTGCTGTTATTTGCTCTAAGCACATTCAAGAGTATGCACTCGAATGTCACGGCCTGGTGCAGATGCTGCCGCTTTGTAATGACAGCCGCGGCGCTCAGTGAAAGCACAGCTCTAACACGGTACCGAGCTCGGACATATGCAGACAGAACCATGTTGCTCAAGTGCGTGCGGGTCTCCCTCGTATCTCCCCCGTTTCTCCCTGTGTCTCCTGACATGTCTCTCCCCTGACTCTTCCCAAAGCGCAACCAGCGCTCCCGAAATTAAAGCTCTGGATACGTAATTTTTCCATTGCGTTAACGATGCATGCTGGTTGTGCGCAAAACACACCACAAAACAGGTCATTTAAGTTTTTATTTTGCATACTTTGAGGAGCTCCTGTGAGTCATTACTGGCCTATTTGAGGTAGAGAGTGGAATAAAAAAAAGATAAATATAGAAAAACTACCAATGTTACTTATTGCCAAACTGCTTGTTAACTCATTGTATTGAGAATACTCATGTAAACTTTTGACATTGGCCGAAGTTATTATAATGATTCTGCAGTTCATTGTAGTTGAATGTTGTTTTGATAGTCTATACTTCTTATATAATTTAGAAAAATATGCCACCTCCACATATAAGATAAAAGATATCAGGAGCTTTTTTTAACACGTTTTGGAAAGTAAGTAAGAGAAAGCACAAAGTAATAGCAAATTATGAATTGTGATTGTTTAATCTTCTGTTACATACATAACTGCTTCATTCAGTCTACAGCTGAGTTTAGTATAGAATGGCAACACACTATTGCAATATAGTGTGTGATTACACAACAACATTTCTGGGGGAGAAGAAACTTTGGACCTCCGTGTCAATG